CCATGCAGTGACAGGGTGTCCAAAGTGAGGTTAAGTATCATTTGAAAAGTGAGGTTAAACTTTGTCGGCTTTTGCAAACTGATCAAAATGCGTTGTAGGCAGCCAAAAAACCCAGTTGCAAATTGCGACGTAGTTTACCATAACATTTAGTGCACTTTGGATCATCCAAAAAAACAGAGTTCTCCAAAAAAATAATGTCCACTTACTGCGTAGTATCGAAATTGTAATTATTCCAGAAAATTTATAATTAAACCAAAAATACGTTAACCATTGAATTATTGAATCGTATAAAATACTGTATGTACGATATGTACGTGGTATATACTCAACAAATCCATCCATAGTACCGAATTTAAAAAAATAATCTAATTTTAGTCTTATTTCTTTCATTTTTATTTCTTCCATTTTTATTTTTTATACGCCTTTTCGAAGCTGTTTATAGCGGAGACTACTGTAGTTGCCGCATTGGCGTCGATTTGTTTTGCTTCGGCAAAACGGTCTACATGGCCTCCATTTTTATTTTTTTATACGTCTTTTCGAAGCTGTTTATAGCGGAGGCCACTGTAGTTGCCGCATTGGCGTCGTTTTGTTTTGCTTCGGCAAAACGGTCTACATGGCCTCCATTTTTATTTTTTCATACGTGTTTTCTAAGCTGTTTATAGCGTCGATTTGTTTTGTTTCGGCAAAACGGTCTACATGGCCTCCAAACGGGTTCTTTCTGATGAAGCTAAAAAATTGTATAAAATTTAATTAGATTTACTAAAATTGCTTTTATATGTATTCAGTAACATTTAGGGATAATGGATTTTAGACCAATTTTTTTTAAATTTTATTACCTACCTCTTCTGCCCTGGGGACTGGTTCTAAAAAATATTTGGAATTTAAAAAGAGTATACTTATGCTATTCAATATAAAATATAATCATTAGTGTGTGCCAAAAAAACTCGATATTTTTGTTTTCTTGCTCTCCACCCAAAATAACGTAGAAAATGTCCGAACAAATATCCTGTTTAAATCGGAGCTCATAATTTCAATTTTAAGTGGTCCTTTTATCGATTATGAAGTTTTGCCGCTTAAATAGCACAGAAAACTGACTTTTTTACCTTATTTATTCTTGCAACCTAAGAAAAAACGAAAAAATTTTATCAAGCCAAATTTCTATTTTCATTATTTGATTTTTTACAGAGCTTTAAATTAAAAATTTTAGGTTTTTTGCCTTTTTCAGCTAAACTATTGAAGTTAGATGAAAATTCAATTTTTTTTATAATTCTCTATTGACTTTTTGTGCTAACATTAATATTTCACTAACAAAAAGTTAATAATACAAACATGATGACTTTATACGCCTGTAACTTTTAGAATATTGACGATACAAAAAATTCGCCTAAAACTTTTTTGTGGTCCATCAGACAAGCTAAAAAATTGCCATTTGACTTTTTCGTCTAACTTCAATAGTTTTTTAATGCTTTGTGAGAATTAGTCATGGATTTTATGAAAAAAAATTCTTCCTAGGTTGCAAGAATAAATAAGGTAAAAAAGTCAGTTTTCTGTGTTATTTAACCCTGGAGTGAACGGGTGTTCAAACATCACACCAAAGGACGGGTTGGGTCTGAGAAGCCCTCAAAAAAAAAATTAGGATTTCAAAATAAACGTTTAATTCTCGAAAGGTAAATGCATATATCTCTAGCAACACTTTAAACAAACAAAATAAAATATAAAGTAAAATTCTCGCATCAAAAACAAAAAATATACAAAATAAGTAACAAACATATCATTTTTTTACATTGTTACACTAATCACTTTGTCGAGAACGTAAGACTTGAAATTCGGCAGTGCAATCTATACAAACATCATTATTATGTTCCATGCAAATGAATTTTTGGCAGAAACGGCACCTGAATCTTGTTTTCCGATCTTTACAGAAAGCGCATCTTCCTCGTTTTTTCTCGACATTTTCAAGATTTTCTGGTAGCTCAACCATCTCTGTACCACTAAGTTTGGCTGCAAGCTGTCGAATTCCCCTTGGTAAGTGTTGGGAGTGTGCTCTGGCCGTCATGTAGCCCAACAAAAGCTCTTTTCCAAGTTGGCTCAGAAAAATTCTTCGAGAATCTTTTCGATGGACGTCGCATTTTGAGTTGCTTTTATATATCACGAAAGAGTTTATCCCAGCGACATTTAAAAGCCCATACAGGATAACCATGGGCCATCTACGAGTATTTCTGGCCACATTATACTTTGCAGAAAGTTGATCCACGGTATCAACTCCACATTTTGTTGAGTTATAAAATGTTATAATCTCAGGTTTAGTGTTGTCACCAGATTCTGGATCAATTGAGTCGTCGTGATGGAGAGTTGACAGAAGAATGACTTGTCTGTTTTTCTTTGGAATGTACGAAACAATAGTCATGTCCTTTGTAAAACCAAACATGCTTGATTTTTCCGGCCTTTTGGTGAAAAACTGGTTTGGTATTTGCCTTTTGTTTTTCCTTAGGGTTCCAACAATAGTCAGCTGGTGATTGTGTAACAAATTCTCAGCAACTTCAACGGAAGTAAACCAATTATCCATGGTAACGTTCCTTCTTGATTTAGAAATTGGAAAACAAAGTCTGTTGACTACTTCATATGATGTATTGCTCACGAAATAGGGACCTTCGGGCTGTTTACCAGAATAAACCTCCATATTGTACGTGTAGAATGAACGCGAGTCAACCAACGAAAAAACTTTCAATCCATATCGGGCAGGTTTATTTGGGATGTACATCCGGAAGCGGCAACGACCTCTAAATGCCAAAAGCATTTCGTCAATAGTAGTGTACTTGCCCACGGTGTAGTGCTTCTGACAGTTCCTCACTACTTCTTCAAATACTTTCCTTACTGGTGCTAGGTTATCTTCATTTTTACGTTCCTTTCTCGTTCGGATATCATCCATTCGTAAACATCGCATCAGAAACCGGAATCTTCTAAGTGCCATTGTAGCCGGAAATATTTCTATGCCCGTTCCAGTAGAAGACCAAAATTCATAAATAGATGTTCTTCCTCCATGATATAATCCGGCAAGGTAAAGCAGGCCAAATAAGGCTCTTATTTCCAGTACATCTGTTGGTCGTGCATCGGATTTATCTTTATACCTGTTGTATATACTCTCAATATATATATTTGTACTTTCGACCAGTTCGTTCATGATACCATCATCAAAAAAGAGCTGCCAACATTCTTTTGGAGATGATGCATGCTTTGCAGGACCAACTACTCCTGGTAGTCTCACAATTACGTTTTCTTGTCTAGTTCGAACATTTTTTACAAAGCAATGTTTGTTCCATTTGGTTCCATCTTTTGCAATATACTGTAAATGGTTACGGCCCCCGACAGTAGGTTGGATATCTGCTTTCTCGCTTAGCTCATTTTCTTCTATTTCCTGCTCGCTTTCAGTTTCATGGTCGCTTATTTCGTTTTGTTCAAGATCGGCCACGGAACCCTCCGATTCTGAAAAATTTTCTTCACCTGAGCTAACTTCTTCATGCATCTGTCTCAACTTTTCTATTTCTTTTTCATATGGATCCATTGTTCTATCAAACCAAAAATCGATTTTTAAAATAAACTGCAACCAAATAAAATAAAAAATAAACTTACGGGAAAGGACGGGTTGGGCCTGATGTACCAAAATTGACCGTAACTTCCGTCTTACTTGCACCACTGCCTAATAACTACTGCGGTGCATGCATTGCGATCTGGTTTGAAGGTACTGAACCGCGCAGGACCGTCCGCGGCTTCAAAAAAGAATAATCATTTGACTAAATTTGATTGGGCCTGACAGACCGCACCCGTGCTCTCCAGGGTTAAACGGAAAACTTGAGATTCGATGAAGGACCTCTTGAAATTGAAAATATTTGTTCGGACATATTCTACGATATTTTGGGTGGAGAGCAAGAAAAAAAATATCGAGTTTTTTTGGCACACCCTAATAATCATATTATATTATTATTAATTAATAAGTGTTTTTTCTACAATTGCTTCCATATGGATTCAGTAACATCCAGAGATAACGGATTTTGAACTGAATTTTTTTATTTTATTACCTACCTCTTCGGACTTCTGCCCTGGGGACTACTTCTAAAAAAATAATTGGATTATACTTATATCAGTATATATGATAGATTAAATATTAATTAGCATATGCTTATATATTATATAAGTAAGCATATGCTAATTAATATTTAGTCTATCCGAAAATGGCAAATTTACCTTCTGCTTGGTTTTCTAAGGGGGCAGGTTCTGCACTCAGAGAAATATCAAGTTATGAAAAGCATATGAAATTATATTAATTTAAATAATCGGGTAAATTTGATTCAAATAGAAAAAATTTTAGTTTTACATTCATTTACCAACAGTTTTACAATGTTTTGAAACACTTTTAAAGTGTACCCTCTTTAAAATATATATACAAAAAGAAATCCATTTATTTCATTGCCTTTCTCAAAGTTGTTTCAAAAAGATATGTATTATACAATTGTTATGCACCTATTAATTTAATGGGAAACACCAATGACGCCAAAACATATTTGAATCCCTAATAATTCAAAGGGATTCAAATATGTTTTGGCGTCATTGGTGTTTCTCATTAAATTAAAAGGTGTATAACAATTGTATAATACATATATTTTTAAAATAACGTTGAGAAAGGCAATGAAATAAATAGATTTCTTTTTGTATATATATTTTTAAAAGAGTACACTTTAAAAGTGTTTAAAAACATTGTAAAACTGTTGGTAAATGAATATAAAACTACATTTTTTTCTATTTGAATCAAATTTACCCGATTATTTAAATTAATATCATTTCATATGCTTTTCATGACATGATATTTCTCTGAGTGTGGGGTAGGCGTTTTATTTTTGAGTGGAAACAACTTTTTAATTAAAGCGTCAGTATTTACTGCAAAAACCCACCTATTAAATTAATCTCAGTTTCACAGTGGCGTGCCCATGGGCCATGGGGGAAGTTCAAACATCTTCAGGTCTTATCTGGTGTTGCTGCTCTTTTGCGAGTTTGACTCGCAGCAAAGCAGCAGTTACTTTAAATATTAAAAACGTCTCTGCAACTCCTAAATTTGTTTAATGTGTACCATAGCAATCTAACCTGGAGGTGATGCTGCGGCTAGGGCTAAGGCTGAGACACCAGCCTCTTCAACCTCTGTATCCCCCAAATATATTTTGTGAGGGCCAGCAATTGCTCCTCAATGGGATTTAATTCCGTTTAGTTTGCTGGCCCTCCTCCAGTTAGGATCCTTGATTGTTCTATCACCCTAGCCTTGCGCCGCGCATTGGACTTCCATTCAGAGTAAAACCTTAAACATAAACATGTATACAATTTATAAATTCGTAATTACTTTTACATTTATTTAAATTTTAAAATTATGTATTTAATTATAACTTACTTGCTTCCATTGGCTCGACGTCTTTGCCGGGCCAATGTTTTTTGCGTTAATTCTTGTGGATAGGTCATTCCACAAGGAATTTAATTTATCTTCTTCTGTGGTCTTCAATTTAGAATTCAAAATATTTTTATTTTGCTGTGCAAAATGCAACAATTCTTCAAATTCTTTTTTTGTTGTTCTTCCTGAACGATTCATTTTTTTAAACTAAATTTACCTATTTGACAATTAAGTTCACAGTCTACTCTACCTATATATTTTAAAACAAGTATACCTATTTAAACAAATCTAAAAATCGGTTCAATACCTATTTTCCCATCGGATGATTTAATTGTGCTTGGAACAGGATTGACTTCAGTATTTTTCGACTGGTATTTTTCAGCACTTAGAATTACAACATCAGGGCTTCTAACAATGGTGCGATTTTCTAGTAGAACGGTCTGGTTAGTGGTAACAGTAACTGCAAATAATACATATAAATAAAGTTCTTACTTTCTAATAAACATTTAATTGGAAGTAATTGTTTTCGTAGAAGTTATCTTCTATCCTGACTGTACTTCTAACTTACACATTTCTTTATCGTTTCGAGTTTGTACCTGAGGGGAAATTTTCAAACCTTGAGGAACTGTCCAGCAGTAACTGTAAAAGCAGTGTTTTACATAGTTAGTTAGCCCGATTTGCAAAAAATCATTACGCAAATCAATAGAGGACAAAAACCGTGACTGTTGCAACTGATATGCGCAATAAAAGGTAATGGGTATGCATCGCCCTTAACCACCGAATTTAATTTCTTTGCGTCATAAACTACACGAAAATCACCGCTCTTTTTCTTGACTAATAAGATAGGACTACTCCACGGAGATTTTGAAGGTTGGATAACGCCTAAAGTCAACAATTTATCTATCTCTTTGTTCATATGTTCCTGCATCACCGGAGAGAGTGGATAATATCTCTGTTTAATAGATGAAGCATCACCAATATCAATATCAACAGTAATTAAAGGGGTCACTCCTAATTCGGGTGTATTAAGTTTTAAATTGTGAAGTTAATAATTAATTGATCAGAATCTAATGAATTTACGTCTTAAATTATTTTTATAGTGTCTAAAGAATGAGTAAAATTTTATTGATAAAATTAACTGAAATTTCAAAAAGTATACAAAAGTCTATGCCAAGAATTAAAAAATGTTTTATTGATGAAATTACCAAAACCCGAAGAAGCTTACTATTGTCATTTAGTGAAATAATAATATCAATGTACTCCAAAACTGTCTGGTTGTTACCATCAGCGGTACTTACGCTAACGTTAGCATCATTAACAATTAAATTGAACAAAAAAAATAACTTTTTGAGGCAAGATTCACCAATTATGGAAACATTGGCTCCGGAATAAAGTAGTGCATTAATTTCATGACCAAAAATTTTGATAGGGTTAAAAGGTATATTGTCATTGTCAACCTAAGTGAACGCAGGCGAAATATTAGAAGATACAGTGTCATTAAAGGTGAATTTAGATGGAGTAATATCGTCGCCTTCCACACATAGTGTCGTAAGTAACATTTTATAAATTTTCCAGTAAAGCGAAAAAACTAAAATTGGTTTAATATTTCCCGGAATTACCGGAAAACTATTTAAAGTAAATTTTTGATTTTAATACACAGAAAAGTATGTTTTTCAAGAAAACTAATTTTGTGTGAAAGTTACTGAAAAGTCTTTATCTTTCCAAATTTTTGAAAAAGTTATCACCTACGTCAGTTTGTGTGATTTTTTGTTTAGACTTCCTACAGATAGGACATTTGGTAATAACACTTTGAATTAATAAGGTGATGTATTTCAACTAATAAGCATATTTTAAACCAAAAAAACTTGAAATTCTAATACACACTAGGTAAAGCAAAACAAAATTGCAGTTTTACAAAATATAAATTAATTTTCGTGAGGCAGAGTGTAGTAAAAGTTTTTAAAATCGGGAAGTCTAATAACAGGAGTATCTCCTTTACATAGCGAAGTAAGATCGTCGAATTTTTTCTTTGATATCTTCAGTGGAGCACTGTTTAAATTATTAACTTTAACATCAGCTACTTTACTCTCCAATAGTTTTAATTCGATAAAGTCATTCCTTGAGTCAAAGTGGCTAAACTGCGCACCACTCAATGGGTCGCGACCAAAAAGTTCGTCCTTTTTCAAAACGACATAACTTTTTTGTTTCTTAACCCATTTACGGCCAAGGAAAGAAATAACACTTTAAAATGGTAAAAAATATATTTTTATGATTAAAAAACATCACAATATTACTTATTTACCGTCAAACAAAAAATAATTTGCCTACTCTACAAAGTAAATACTGATGCGTAAACGCATCAACGGCCTATAGCTTTAAGTAATATTGCCTGAAACAGTCGGCGTGTAAAGAAACTTTACAACGATCACAAATATAAATTGTTTGACTTTTGCATACACGACATCTTCTTCGGTACTCAGTTTTACTGATAACATGCCCAGACTGATCAACTCTAACTTCATTGGGTGGTTCTGATGGAAGTGCCCTAGCGATTGAGTTTTTAGTTTTTAGGAGTCGTTATGCAATGAATGATTTAAAATTAAGTTGCGACATCTTATTTTCATTTACCATGTTGAAGAGTTTCCAAGAATTCACTAGGGCACTGTCGATTGTATTTATAAAAAGTGGCCACCACCACTTTTTACCCATCACACGTATTCTATAATTTGCCACACCATTATCATGTAAATCCACCCCTCCCATGTATTTATTATATTTTGATATCATATCTTTTGGCAGAAGAAAGAGGTTCTACATGATAATGTGTACTAATTGCTGTTATAATGGAATTATCATTCCATTTTACCAATGCAATTTGATTTGATTCATCAAATTTAAAATCAAAGGTTCCTCTTTTTTGTTTTGAGAGCACCTTACTTGATTGCAAAGGACAGCTACTTGTTCTATTTTCTCGGATTGTTCCTGAGGCTAAGAAACCTTTTTAAAAGAGACAACAGTTTATATGAGGAAAAAAAGTTATCAAAGAAGACGTTATGATTTTGCGAATGTTGTACAATTGACAACAGTTCAAGAACAACATTCGCGCCAAGTCCAAGATCGGTTTTTTTTCTGCTGTTCCCGCCTTAGGAATAAACTTGTACAGATATCCACTTGATGAACAAATACACCAAAGCTTAAACCCAAAGCGGACAGTAGGGTTGAGCGAAATAGGACAATTTTTTTAATTTTTGTTTTTTTTCAATGGGCTAGGGCAGAAAAGTTGTCTATTGGGCAGTATATTACAACAACAAAAAATCGATTCTCTGGGTTGCCATTTAGAGGTTCCCCAAGAGACTTGAAATTCTCATATACCTTTGTATGCAAAAATAGCAGCTCTTCGCTTATATTTTATGATTTTAACTATAAAACACAACCCAGAACTCACCACGAGGAGGTGGCTGCTTTTCGAGTTCCACCTCCTTCCACCACCACCTCCCTTTCCCACCGCCTAACTCTTCTTGTAAAAAGAATGGTACAACTGTGGTAAAAATTATTTATTATCTACTGAGTACTCACGTTTCGTATTACAATTACAATCCTTGTCGGATATATTAGTTAGCAATGGGGTTCCGTAAGCTTGCATGACTGCCAATCAATCAGCTCCACAAAGTCTGTTGCATTAAAATTAATTTTTGGAATAGTAAAAAATCGTATGCTCTTATTTTGCACTTGCTGACGAATTTTTAGTAAACGACGATAACCTAACTCTCGTATACATTTAGATTCATCTGTCACCATGGAAATTAAAATATTTTCTGGGTGGGCATAAAAACCGTTTCTTTGTATGACTGGATCAATGATTTTTAGAACGTCTTCCTCAAAATGCCTGGACCATTTAATCATATTTAACAAATGGCGAGGACCCTCTTTACATGATGGCTTAAGCTTAATATAAAACCATAAAGGTGCGTAAACCTTAACCACGTATTCGGTTAAAATTTGAAGGTTCCTTGTTACTTCATTTGAGGAAATATATAGTCTTAGTATCCTGTTTGCCGCTGTTAGCCAACGGGAATGGGTTAATTTGCCTGGCTTTCTATGAATTAGGCTCTCCGAGCAAACACCAGAAGTAACAGCTTGACATATGTCCCATAAATATTTTTGGTCGGTACTTAGATCATTAGGAACAAGTTCTTTGGATTGGATGAAACAATACAGCTGGTAAACTTTCACAGGTTTCCAAAGCTTTCCCAATGGTACCAGAATATCCATGAGGTCCAGTTGAAGGTCCATCCAACTTCTGCATTAAGTGCCTTAGCGGCAACTCATTTGCATGAAAAAGACAGATCAGCCATTGAACGGGGCGATCAAGATAGAGTTCTAACATTCTTATGGCACCATTTTTATTTCCAGTGTTCACAACTGTTCCGTCACAGCCTATGGCAACTAAATTAGAAAAATCTACCCTTTCCTCTAAAAACTTCACAATTCCTTGTTTAATATTATATGCAGATCCGGACAGCGGTGTCACATGACCTATATATTTTGAGCCTGGTTCTGATACCAACACAATGTGTTCTTCTATTACAGTATTTCTATGAAGTTTGTTTCCCCTCATGTTTTGCGCAATTGTTTTATCTTTTCGACCGTCAAAGAATAAACACGTTACAAATTCCTTGCTTTTGCTCTCATATTTAGATCTCTGCCTTTTTCTAGCACGACGTATTTTACTTCTGTCAATTATTTTTGATGGATCGACTGAAGTAACTATATTAAGATCTTCCAAAACAGCTGTTCTGTCACACGCTTTAGCTAGTTTTGGTAAGAAAATTTTCATTTATCCAATATTTTTACTTGACTGAGAACTTGAAGCAACTGATTGACATTTAACAATTTCTAAAGCATCTTTTACATCCGAGTTAGAATCGGAAAGATCAGACTCTTGCAAAGTAACGTCTTGTGTGACCGTTTCTGTTTGTCTTGGTTTTCTGATTATTTTAGGCGTATCTTTTAATTTCCTTGCTATTTTTCTTTCTATTTTCTTAATTTCCATTACATCTACAGAACTAATTGCCATTTTACGTTTACTACGCTGGTCTAGTAAAAACGTCCTCTCTTTTAGAGGAACTTTTATTTTGCACTTGCATAAACTAAAATCGGTACATTTACATGAAGTTATATCAAAAAGTGTACGATTTGCATAGTCTTGAAATACTTTTATTTTTTCGGAAAAGTTTTTCTAAGGTTTCTTTAAAGTTTGATATTTTTTGTGATATGCTTTTAACATATCAGTAAAGAGGGATTTATAGATTGACGTTGCCGTTGCCGTTCGTCCTTGCAGTTGCCGTTCCCGTTGGGAAGCAGCGTCGTCAAGGTTATTGCATTTATACATTGAAGTTCAACGAGAACAGCTGGCCAATCAGAATCGCCCATTTTAAATCTGTTTATAGCCTATAATTTATAATCAAAACATTCGTTGTCAAATGTTTGTTATATGCTCGTTGTGTTGTTTCACAAAGAAGAGCGTTTTGTAAATCTGAAATGAATTCGAATAATTTGCTGTTGGGTACTTTGGGTTATTGTTACGCTCAGCTGCAATAACTGTGATGAGGAGAAAAAAACGATTATGTAGACGTTTTAGAATCCGAATAAATCTAAATAGACGCTTAAATAGCCAATACGTTTATTTCAAGAGAATGAAAATTATAGATAAAGAACAATTCTTCAAATTCACCAGAATGACGGTAACTTTGTTTGATGAACTATTAGAAATGATAAAACCAAAAATTACCAAAAGACATTTAAAAGATGCTATTTCTGCAGAAGAAAGATTGGCAATTACATTGCAGTAAGTAAATTGAATAAAAAAATCTATGATTACTGTATTAAATTTTGTATTTTAGGTATCTATCACAGGGTGGTAGTATGCAGAGTTTGGCATGGTCATTTCAAATAGGATTAACTACAGTCCACAAAATTGTTCATGAGACTTGTTGTGCCATATGGGAATGTTTGTCAGACAAATATTTAAAAAGTCCCTCAAGTCAACGGGTTTTTCTTCCATTTGGAATTTTCCTAATTGTCTTGGGGCACTCGATGGAAAACATATTTTTGTACAATGCCCTGCCAAATCAGGGTCACAATTTTTTAATTATAAAAAGCACTTTAGTATTATCTTAATGGCAGCCTGTGATTCAAATTATCTATTTACTCTGGTGGATATTGGGGCATACGGATCACAAAGTGATGGAGGTGTATTTAAAAATAGTACATTTGGTGTTCATTTATATCGAAACAATAATAATAATAATAATTATTAAATAGGAAATCCTAATATACAATCAATAAAAACAATTATAAAAACATTTATAAAAACATTAATATTTCTTTAAATAAATTACACTGTATTTTAACACCCAATCTAATCTAACAATAATTACTTACAAAAAAAAAACATAATACAATTTTTAATTTAACAAAAATGCACATAAAGCTCTCTTAAAGGTTGCTAAAGTCTCACAATTTTTTATTTCTTGTGGTAACAAGTTGTATTCATTTAGCCCTTTAAAAAATAATGAATTCATTGCGGAATAAGTATTTGTAGTATTAATATAAAAGTTATTGGTTCCTCTTGTGTTATATGCATGAAAGTTGTTTAATACTAAATTTTCATGTAAATAGGGGGCAGCAATATTATTTTTTATTTTATATATAAAAGTAAGTGTTAGATAGTTTATTCGTTTACGTACTGATTGCCATTGTAAAGTATTTAACATTAAGTTAATAGAGGTACGTTTACTACATCTTAAAATAATACGCATTCCCCTATTTTGAAGTTTTTGTAGTGAATCTAATGATGCATTATCAAGCAAATATAACAAAGATGCACAGTAATCAAAGTGGGGTTGTATGATTGATTTAAATACTGTTATTGATGTATCAATTGATAGATTATCTGCTACACGGGAAAAAAAGTATAGTTTTTTTGAGATTTTTTTATGAATATAATGAAAATGTGATTTAAAACTTGGACAATTATCAATAATACAACCCAAATATTTAATCCTGTCCACTACCTCAATTTTTTTACCTTCAACAAAAATATTTACCCAAATCTAATCTAGAATTTTTATGTCTAGTTGTAATGACCATACATTTTGTCTTTTGTGCATTAAGCTTAAGCTTATTAATATTAAAGTAGTCAACAATTTTTTTAAGTATGTTGTTCATTCTTTCGATTAAATTATTCAAATTTTTTCCGCTTACAACAGTAAGCGTATCATCAGCAAAAAGATACGAAATGTACCACCCATATGATATGAATGTACCACCCACTGAAGTTATTCCAAACACCAATATTGCTTTGCCCTATTCATTTGTGGCAGATGAAGCCTTTCCATTAAAGGAATATATAATGCGACCCTACCCAGGAAAGAATCTATCCATAAAAAAAGGATATTTAATTATAGACTTTCAAGATCACGAAGAACAATAGAAAATACATTTGGAATATTAGTTGCTAGATGGAGGATCCTTAAACAAACAATTAATGCAAAAGTAGAAAATGTGGATAACATTGTGAAGGCGTGTGTTGTACTTCACAACTTTTGTAACTGCTTTTTTGGCAGTTCTGTCCAAGGGTTGAACTTTTTATAATTTTTAAGCCTAGCCTTGGGCGTTTGGTGGTCGCTCACTATATGTGCCATTCAAAATAGCACTACGCTTAAAAACACCGTTCATTAGACGACGTAAAAGCGACGTTCCGGATTTTCGACTGTAATCAACTGCGTCATCAAAAGCTGTTTTCTTGCAATAAATGTTGTATTTCAGTAAAACCATCTAATTACAAAAAAAATTATAAAATTTAGTAATATTATATTATAACATATATTATATAAGCAAAAGAAAATATAAATAAACCTGAAGTTTTCAACGTTGCCATTTAACATTTTTTTGTTTAAATATTGTCAACAAAAAATGCCTTAACAAACTTTGCATGCAAAAAAATATAATTTTTGCCTACAAAAAAAATTATTAAATGGTAACATTAAATATAATCGATTAAATATAAAAAATTTTTTCATTGAATCAAACTTAATTTTTTATAGTTATGAGAATTATTTATATTATCTTTGTTTATTATTATGAATATTGTTTCTTACCGGTTCACCAGAATTTCGCCCATACAAGTGAGGGTTCAAATTGTCTTCGGTTTCAGTTTCCTGACCAACTGTAAATTCAGAATCATTTTTTTTAGCTGATGTGGCCCCATGGTTCTTCTGAAGATTCATCATTAATATATTTTTGTTCTTTCTCTCCAATGATTAAATCTTCGTCACTTTCATCTTCTGAAAGAAAAACTTTTTTTGAACTGGATGCTGTATAAGTACTGGACCTTGAACCTTAAACAGAATATATAAATATTATCATTAAAATCTTATTCATATAAATATTTAGATTTTACCAGATGCAAGGAGCTTTTGTTGATGTTGAATCAAGAGTTTAAGCTCCTCTTTACTTGGGCTGGTTTTAGGATCTTCTTTAGTTGTTGGAGACTTGTTTTCCTCTTTATTTTAATAAATTAAGTTTTTCACTTGCTGCTTCAGATTTTTGGTTGATTGCTTGTTATCATCTTTATTATTTAAAACCTAATAAAATTGGGAGTTTTTGGTTTGATTGTTTAACCTATACATATACTGGGGTTTTATTAAATACATATTTAATAAATTTTATATTTATATAAATATTTAATAAATCAGTATAAATTGTTAATCTCACTTTTTTTCTGTTTTGGATAGACCTGAATCCTCACTAAATGGCTTTCGAGGTCTTTTGGGAGGGAGTGGTGAAGAATTTTTAGGGTTAAATGTCTTGGCTAATTCGTTTAATTTATCAGCATCATCTAAAATAATAAGGTAATGCAAAAAATTTTGAATGTGTACATGGTCTTACGTTGTACAAGCTTTTACGGGACCCCCTGTATATATAAAACAAAGATTGTCCAAAATATTATTCTATTTTATTTTGATATCATAAATATAAAGGTTTACCTGTTGCTTCAATTACGATCCCCGTGTATTTCTCGCGATCGTTTTCCCAATAAAAGGAAACGCTATCATTTTTCGTTGGAGGAACATCGGGGTCGTAAATAGGGTTGCAACTTTTCATGAAAAGTTGAAATTTTTGAAAAGTTGGGTTTTATTTTTCGGAAAAGTTCGAAAAAGATGGAAAAGTTGAGTTTTTTGCTTGTCAATGTATTAAAATAATTTATTTCTTATGTATTTATACATACGTAACAAGTTCTTTTATAACAAAATAACAAAAAAAAATAACAAACAAAATAAAATCAACAGACAACATAATCACAACAAAAATAAACTAGGTTTGAGTTAAAAAAATCATATTTTTTAAGTAAAAAAGAATAGAAATTTATACACACCATAAAAAACACATACGAAATAAAAAATAATTACAAAAAAATATGAAGCAAAAATTATTAAAGATATTGTTGTTAAAAATTATGGAAATTTAGTAAAAATTTAAAAAGAAAAAGAAAAGAAAACTTTCTTCTTTTCCACTTTTATATTTCCACTTCTTTTCCACTTTAATATTTCCACTTGCAAATTTCCATAATTAATAAAAAATAATATTTTTTTCATACTGTGTATAAATTTCCACTCTTCCAGTTTTGATTTTAATTAATCTGATTCTGATGAATCGTGGCGTGGGCGAAGACGAAGACGAAAAGAAATCATTATTTGTATTTTCGTCTTCAATCGATTTGGCAGTCCATTTACCAAAAATACCTTCACTTCACTTCGGTTTATTTTTTAAATAATGAGTTTTATTCCTTGTTTTTTTTTCAATTATAAATATTTATCTTATTATGACGATATAATTCAAAATACGTGACCCAAATATTCTTATTGGATAAATTTTAGCAACTAAAATACGTTATAATAAAACAATCTTTATATAATAGAAAATGCTGTTAGCAGACACCATTTTTGATAAAGTTTGACAGAATGTTATTCCAAAAAACAATGATTTTAGCACCTTTTACTAAAAACACTTTAAATCTAGCGATTTATATCAAATTTTGACCAAATTATCTACCGAAAAAAATTTATGGTAGTGGAAACACTGGTTAGAAGCCAACTCATTGTTCATTGGCTCCCACCTAATAACTTTTCCAACTTTTCATAGGGGGTGCCGAACTTTTTCAACTTTTCCAACTTTTCGACCGAACTTTTCCTTGTTTGCAACACTAGTCGTAAATGACCTTAAAATCCTCAACGGTACAATATGAGTTATCAGCCTCGCACTTTATTAGGTAGTACATTGTGTCTTATCTTTTCCAAATTCAGACTCTGATTACACAAATTATAAAAGATAAAGAAGGCCACAACGCACACAAATAACGCACAAGACGC